TTAGAAGATGGTAAACTAAAAGCAAAACGTTTACAATCCTGTTTTGCAAGAGGAATGGTAAAAAAACAGTCCTGTAGATCTATAACTACAATATATTGTCCTTTTGGTATAACCACAGGAGAAGGGAGGCCCGGTTGCAGAGCTCCCATGGTTTCCATAGTTTTGTTTAAAGCTCTAAGGAGGCTCTGGAGACACAGAAACTAACAAATTGGGTTACCAATCAGAGATATGATTTCGAGCTGTAGCCTCCTCTAAGTCCTCCTGATCTTGAGGAGAAAGTTGTTCGTCCTCCTCTTCATCCCCTTGTTCATCATCAGATTGAGACTGTTTTTGAGGGGATGTAGTTTTATAAAATCTAGATGTAGCAGCAGCCCCGATAAAGGGGATTTGTTCAGACTCAGTAACTTGACGAGCCAAACAAACTGCCTTATGGGTCGGATCCAAAGCATCTTTAAAACATTTCATAATGCAAAAGCATCTACAGGAATCTTTTCTGGCCCATGATGATCATAATAAACCTTCGTCTCTTTACCTAGTTTTTTCCATGTTTCTAAATTCAAGGTTCCTTTCTCAGGGAACCAAGGAGAGCATTCTTGAATAAAATGAAAAAAAAATGTCTTAACTGCTTGGAAGAAACTAAAATGCCCAATTTATGGAACATATGCTTAGCTATATCAATAAAGAGTCCTCTTTCTTAAGACACTTTATGGCCCATGACTTCTCAAAATAAGTTCTCTGATTACTTACCCTTCACTTACTTAGCACCTTGCTAAGGGGTCTGCAGTACCCTAGGTAAGATCCTATTCTCACCTGAAAACTTCTCAATGAAATGAATGCATCAGACTTACGGATTACCGATCGTCCCTGTTCGGGGGGCGCCAGATGTCGGAGACCAGCTTCAACAGGGGGTCTCAGGAGACGAACGGATGGTGAGGAGTCGGTGAAAGAGGGGCTGGAGAAACAACACAGACACAAAAGTGAAGGTGTTGATCTCAATCTTTACTTGTGAAGTTGATCAAATATACTTTTCATTTTGGCAGGCTCACAGTACTTTGTGGTTACAAAACAGGAATCATTATTCAAACAAAACAAAATATTACATAGCTACAATTAGAATAGAAGAATGTATCTTGGCTAATGCATAAGCAAGCATTTGTACTTTCAGTTCGAGTTTTGCTTTGAGCTGTTCTGCTTAGTTAACTTTTAATAATAGTTACAAATGTCCCAAACTATTGGCCTATACCTTGACTATTCTTTCTTGACTTACTGACTGGAACCGGTGCCATGGTTAAAGCAAGTGGTTGACTTGTTATTACTTTTAATCAACCAAAAGTAAGAGCACAAACTATTGTACACAAGAACAAGAACAGGTTTCCCAGTACTAAGCACTGTCTTCTTAACATTAATTTCTCTTCTCTAGATTTTAATTTAATTTCTCAAAAAATTTCTTGACAGGAATACAGGGAGTTTTTTATTAGACATTAACAATTTACACTAAACAGCTGAATCATTGCATTTAGAGCAATCAGATCTATGCTTTAGAAGTAGTTACATTAATTGGAAAAGTCATGATTTTTCTTTCATAGTTAATGGTCATACGAGAAATTGAAAGTATACTTATTAAAGGAATACAACAACAAATCAGCCCATTTCCAGAAACATACTGAGCTCCTCCAGAGGATGGACGCCTTGCACCATCCACCTCAGTAGGGCCTTGCCATTGCCTGAGTCAGGGGAGGGGCGCAGCAGTTATAGTTAATTTTAGTTTAAGATATGGTGTTATAGCTAGGTTTAGAGGTACGGTGAGGGTTAGAATTAGGGTTAGAGCTAGGGTTTGGTTAGGGTTATAATAAAGGCTAGGTTAAGGGATAGGATGAGGGCTAGGGTTTGTTGTAGGGTTAGGTCTAGAAATAGGGCTAGGGTAATAATGTCAGATATAGTGTTACAGTTTTGGGTAGATTTAAGGTTAGGTTTGTGTCTGTGTCTAGTGTAAGTGTTAAGTTTGGGTAAGAGTCAGTTTTAGAGCTACACGTATTTTTAGGTTCAGATTGAGGGTTAGTGTTTGTTTTAGGTTAAGGTTTAGGGATAGGGCTCAAATGAGCATTAGGGTTAGGGTTAGGGTAATTGATTGGGTTAGTTTTAGGTTTCAGGGTTGGTTTAGAGAAATGGAGAGCTTTAGGGTTAGAAAAAAGGTTAGGGCTATGCCTAGGGTTAGCATTAGGATTAGGGTTATCATAAGTATAATATGTAGGGTTAGAGCTACGGTTAGAGCTAGGGTTAGATTATGATTAGGACTACAGTTAGTTTAGGATTTGCTTTAGGGCTAGTAACCCTAGTTTAGGGTAGGATTATGGTTATATTTAGAGTGAAATTTAGGTTTAGAGCTAGGGTTAGGTGTAGGACGAGGGTTAGGTTTAGTGTTATGATCAGGGTTATGTTTAGGGTTAGGGCTAGGGTTTTCATTAGGGTTTGGATTAGGTTTAGGGTAATAGATTAGGTTAGATGTAAGGTTAGCTTTATGGTAAAGGTTAGGTTTAGGTTTAAATTTACTTTTAGAACGAGGTTTACTCTTGGTTATATACTAAGAGTGTGTGTTTGAGTTGGTGTTAAGGATAATTCAAGGTTTAGGTTTAGGGTTAGGTCTAGTGTTAGGTTTGTGGTTTGGTTTAGGGTTTTGGTTAGAGACAGAATTATCATTATGGTTAGGGTTATAGTTAGGGTAATGAATAGGGCTAAAACTAGTATAAGGTATAGGCTTAAGGTTAGGGTTAGGGCTACGGTTAGGGCAATGACTAGGGATAGTGCTAGGGTTATATTTAGGCTAAGAGTTAGGCTTTGGGCTAGGGTTAGTACTAAGGTGAGGATTAGGTTTATGGTTAGGACTAGGGTTGGGGTTAGGGTGAGAGTTATGCTTAGGGTGGGTTTAGGCCTCAATTAGGGTTAGGGTTATTTAAGTTTTTGTTATTTTTGTTATTTAAGTTTTGTGTTAGGTATAGGCCTAGGGTTAGTGCTATGTGTAATGTAAGATCTAAGGTTCTGATTAGATCTAGTTTTATGTTTAGTGTTATGGCTAGGTCTACTGTTAGGTGTAGGTTTTGGGTTAGGGTAAGGTTTAGAGCTCGATTTAAGATTAGTGTCAGGGCCAGTGTTCAGGTTAAATTTAGGGTTAGAGTGAAACCAGAATAGGACTAGGGTTATGTCTAGTAGTAGGGTTAGTGTTTGGTTTAGGTTAAGCGTTATTGTTAGGGCTAGCACTAAGTTTATGTTTAGGTCAAGGAATAGAGTAATATCTAGATTTAGGATTACGATTAGGTCTAAGACTACTGTTAGTGTTATGTTTAAGTATAAGTTTACTGGTAGGGCTAGTTTCAGGTTTTGGTTTCAGTTTAGAGTCAGGTTTAGACCTATAATTTGTGTTAGGGTCAGAATAAGGGTGAAAGTAAGTGTTAGGTTTGGCGTTAGCATTAGATCTAGAAGGAGGGCTAGTGTTAGGAATAAAAATAGGGTGATTGTTTGGGTTTGGCTAAGGATTAGGATTAGGACTAGAGTTAGCATTATGAATAGGGTTTGGCTTAGGGTAATGGATAGGATTACAGCTAGGGTTGGGGCAAAGATTAGAGTTACAATTAGGGCTAGTTTTAGGGTTAGAATTAGGGTTAAATCTACAGTTAGGGCACAAATTAGGGCTATTTTGGGGCTAGAGTTAGGGTAGGGTTCTGCTAAGGGCAATATAAGACCTAGGATTATGATTAGGGTTAGTTTTTGTGTTAGGATTTCGGCTAGGCCTAATGTTAGTATTAGTTTTAGGATTAAGGTGATATTTAGATCTAGGATTTGTGTTAGGGTGAGGGTTAGTTATAGGGTTAGGAATCGAATTAGAGTTAGGCTTATGGGTTAGGGTTTTGTTTAGGTTAAGATTTAAGGTTAGAGCAATGGCTCGGTTTTGTTTCAAGGCTCGGGCTTGGATTAGGGATAGTTTTAGGATTAGCAATAGCGTTAGAGTTAGTTGTAGAATGAGGTTTCGGCTTAAGATTAGGATTACATTTAGAGTTATGGTTAGATCTAGGGTTAGGGCTATGGCTAGGGTTAGGGATATGGTTAGTGCTTTTGTGAGGGTTACAGTAATAAATAGGTATATAAATAGAAATATGGCTAGGTTGTAAGAGTTAGTCTTAGGGCTAGATTTAGGGGTAGGCATAGGTTAGGGTTCAATTGGGGCAAGGATTAGCGCTATGATTAGTGTTAAGGTTAGGCCTATGGTTATGTCTAGGATTAGCATTAGTTTTAGGGAAAGTGATGGGATTACATAGCTAGGTTCAGTGCTCGGGTGAGGGTTATATTTAGGAATAGGTCTATGGTGAGGGTTCGGTTAAAGATTAAGTCTAGGTTTAGGGCTAGAATGAGGGCTAGGGTTTGTGTAAGGGTTAGGGCTAGGATTAGGACGAAGGATAATGTCAGGTCTAGGGTTATGGTTAGGGATAGGGTTAGGGATATGTTATGGCTAGGTCTAGTGTAAGTGTTACTTTTAGTGTAGGGGTCAAGTATAAAGCTAGGTTATTATTAGGGTCAGAGTATGGATTAAGATTTGGTTTGGGTTAAGGTTTAAGTTAAGGGCACAAATTAGGATTAGGGTTAGGGTAAAGGTTAGAGTAATGGATAGAGTTAAGTTAAATGTTTATGCTAGGTTTAGAGTAATGTATAGGTTTAGTGTTAGGGATAGGGTTAGGGTTAGGCCTAGGGTTAGCATTTGGTTTAGGCTTATGTTTAGAGTAATGAATTGGTTTAGTGCTAGTGTTAGGGCTTAGGTTAAGGTTAAGATTAGGGCTAGGGTTTGGGTTACTCCTAGGGTCAGTGTTAGGTTTTGGTTTAGGGTAAGTTTTAGGGTTTGAGCTAGGGTTAGGGCTAGAGTGAGGGTTACGGTAAGAATCAAGGCTACGGTTTGAGTTAGGATTAGAGTTAGGTTTAGAGTTAGTGCTAGGGTTAGAATTAGGGTGAGTGATATGTTTAAGGTAATGGATTAAGTTAGAGCTAGGGTTGGGCTATGGTTACATTTAGGATTAAGAATAGGTTGCGGTTAAGGTTCGAACTAGGGTTATGTTTAGAGTAAGGGTTAGAGTTTGAGATAGGGTTAGAGCTAGGGCAAGCATTAGGTTTGGGTTTTGTGCTAGGGTTAAGGTTATGCTTAGGTATAGGTTTAGGGCTTGTGTTGGGGCTAGGTTTTTTGTGAGGATTATGGCTAGTAATAGGGTAATATACTAGCTAGGGTCATGGTTATTGTTAGTTTGGGGAGTTAGGGTTATAGATATGTCTACTGTTAGGTTTAAGTTTTGTGTTAGGATAAGGTTTAGAGCTAGGGTTTGTGTTAGGGTAAGAATCAGTGTTCGATTTAGCATTGGGTTTATAGTGTGGCCAAGATTAGAACTATTGTTAGGTCTAGGGCTAGGGTTAGACTTTGTGTTAGATTAATGGTTATTTTAGGGCTAGGGCTAGGTTTCTGTTTAGGACTACGGCTACAGTTATGACTATATTTACGATTAAGTTTAGGTCTAGTGCTAGTGTTAGGGTTAGCTGTAGGTATAGGTTTACTGGTAGAGCTAGTGTTAGGGTTTAATTTAGTATTAAGGTCAGGCTTTTACCTAGGATTAGTGTTAGGGTTAGAATAAGGGTAAGGTTTAGGCTTAGGCTTCAGGTTAGTGTTAGAGATAGAATGAGGGCTAGGTTTAGGACTAGTAATAAAGTTAGTGTTTGGGGTAAGCTAAGGATTAGTGTTAGAACTAGGGTAGCATCAGGATGAGAGTTTGGCTTAGGGTAAGGAATAGGTTTAGAGGTAGGATTTGGGTTAGTTTTAGTGTTAGGGTTAGGATTAGGGTTAAAGCTAGTATTGAAGCTCTGATAAGTGCTAGGTTTTGTGTTAGAGTTAGGGCTGTGGCTAATGTAAGAACTAGCTTTACAGTTAGGGATAGTTTTAGGATTAGGATTAGGGCTAGTTCTAGTGTTTGGGTTAGGTTTAT